CCACCTGCACCAAGCATTTTCTGCGCACTGTTGTGCTTCAGATCAGTGCTAAACTATACATATTAAACTATACATAATACTGTTGTATTCTTCTCTATTCTTTTCTGTTGTATGCACACCAGAAACTGCGCTAAGTGTAAAAGATGTTACCTTTACAGGCTCAAGCTTGGTGTATTAAAGGGGAATTCCATTTTCCAAGATTTATGCATAATTAAATTGTTAAGATGTCAGCAAAGTTATTCAGAATGATTTGAGGTCTAGAGAAATTTACCAAGTCAGAAGCTGTCCTTTCACAACAGTGGTGATAAGAACCAGACTGAAGCACATTAATGTCTCTAAAAGCTACCTCACCGACAGTCTTTACACTAAATCGTTGTGAATGTGTTACCTGATGCCTGGGATGTTGTTTTATAATCATGTTGAGAGAAAATTTTGTCCTAAAATTTATTTTTTTTGATTCATTCGTGGTAGGTGTATGAAAGGTGTTCTGAGGCAAAATAGTTCCCAGATATTTTTTAGCACTATTCTACAGTTATCAACATTACATAGAAAAAGTCAGAAGACGTGTAGGCTCGCTAACCATTTCAGATAGTAAATAAAATGGCTATTTTTGTAGTAGAATATGCAACCCCTGGTTCATCACCACTATAAATAAATCAGAGTTGGTAAGTTTGTTTATGACCAAATTACTTTACATCTCAGCAACTGAATTATGCAGAAATTTGTAAAAATTGGTGGAATTCCCCGTTAATGCAGCGAAACTGTGTTTTAAACTTCAGCAATGATTTAGTCTATTAGAGGATGGATGGATAGAAGGATGGATGGGTTGATGGATGCCTTGAAAATGAGTGTGTTCAGCCTACAGTGACTCAGCTGGAGGACATGTGTTCTGTGTGACACCTCTCTGACTGTTCAAAAACAAATGGCTTAGTCACTGATGTTCTGTTCTCCCCTCTGCAATTAAATCAGGGTTAATTCCCTTCCATCATGGCCTCAGTGCTAAACTACCCTCACTGTCATGCGCTCACAATATAGGCCGTACATGTGTGGGGGTGGTGGAGGACGTCTGTTCGGCACTAAGGGAGTGGCAGCCTGCAGGAATCATGGTATGAGGTGATTTTATTTAGGTCAGTAGAGAAGGCATCAACACACAGCATTCCTGTTTCCTTGAACACTAAGCAGTTCTGCTCCACGTTGTTTTTGGTTTGGAAATGAAGGCTGTGAGAATGACTTGCCCCATCCGTTGCTAATTAGGGTGCAAGTCCCTACATTATTTATCAGTATCCTGATCAATTATTAACTGACTGATATAAAGTATAGACCTGTTTTCTTTATGCAGAAGCCCTTTCACTGAAGGAGCATTGTTGGTTTGGCTTGTGATGAGGTCAAGCTGTGACTGGGTCTGCTTCTCTGCTGTCTCCTCCCCAGCCTGATAGGAGAGGGAAACAGCTACATGCTCACACAGGCATACACAGAAACAAATTGATGCAGGATTGCAACAGCAGAATGTAAAAGGTGGTTAAAGTTGTCCAGATCTTGAAAAGCTTTCATTTTTTACATTCCTTCGATCTAACATCATTGTTTTAATACTTCCTTTGTACTGGATTTTATTAGAAGAACTTAACATGGAAAAAGTTGTTCCTCTCCTGTTGCCCTCTGCAGGCTGAGAGCTGAAACCCAGCTTGTAAAACTTTGTATTAATGACTGCAGATAAGCTTGATTGTTTTATGTCATGCCCACATAAAGCCCTGTGGAGTTGAAGTTTTGCTAGTTGCTTCATTGAGAGTGAAAGCAACTGACAAGTTATCCTTTAAGGAGGATTATTGCTTTAAAGCCTTAATGCAATAATGTTGCTATGTATACACCAGGTCAAAAGTGCATGTGCATGCTGTTACATGCTGACATTGTCTTAAAGGCATTGTGTGGATCACAAGCTTAAATTGTTCCGTGCAGAAATGCTGCTGATTCTACTGCCTCTCACTTTCTTAAAGACATTTGTGTCATTTTAAGTATTTTTAATGTGATTCTGTAGACACGTGGCTGCTCAATATGTGCGAACCAGCAGTGAACTTCATTATACAGAGTGTAGAATCCCATCTTGTATACGGTAATGTAGGGTAGTGCGGGACAGTATCTTTATCTGTCTCTTGTTTATTTTATTTGTTTGTTTTGAAAGAACAAAGTTCAAATATGCATAAGAGCTAAAGAAATAGCAAGTTTCCTTCCTGGAAACGTGGTTTCTGTGATTTGAGTAATTATGAGAGAAGCAGCACAGCACAGAACAGTACAATCAAAATTAACGCCTCAACTTAAAACCAGCAATATCAGGTCTGGAAGTAGTTAACTTTATTATGCAAACTGAAATATCTTCTGAATCAGTGAAACCGTAATATTTTGAAAATATCATAATATTGAATTTTATCAGCACTAGCAAGTGTGATTACCATGGGGGGATGGGAGAGGTTATTTGAATATACTTACAATATTCTTTGTTTACTTATTTGGGAATTTGAATAATGCATGTTCATTTTAGGATGTGAAGCATCTCATGGACTTGGCTAGAGAGAAGGTTTAGGTCAGTGTGCCATTGTTTATTCATAAAAAAAAATAAATGTTTTCTCTTTTTTGTTTAAATGGGGCAAAATAGAAATTTGAATATTGTTAAAATGGGACAAAACTTACTTGGTGGCTGTCAGTATACGTCAAAGGGCCCCAAAATATAGCTTACGTGTAGGAAACACTGTAAGAAGATGGAGCAGGCAACAGCTTGAATGCTAAAAAGCGTGCGCTATTTTCAAGTTATTTAGTGTTCCTTATCTCTCATTTTCACCATGTGCTTCATAACTGAAGGGTGTGAACAGGGATGATGTCGACTTTGAGATGAATCTATTCTTGAGCTCAGCAGCAGATGGGCCTGTTCTCTCGAGTGTGTGGTTACCACGAGAGAGACTTTTCTTAGTAAACTCTAGCTGTGTCCAGAATTAGTACTACTCTTTATTAGCCAAAGCCAGTTAAAGTACAGGGTCACTGTTAGGGCTAGCAGGAGGTATGTATATATGTGTGTGTGTGTGTGTGTGTGTGTGTGTGTGTGTGTGTGTGTGTGTGTGTGTATATGTATGTATGTATGTATGTATGTATGTATGTATGAGAGAGAGAGAGAGAGAGAGAGAGAGAGAGTGTGTGAGAGAAAGAGAAAGAGAAAGTTGCCTGCTTATTTTCTGTAATATTTCGGAGTGCACTTCTGCTTATATCTTCACTGCTTCCTTGTGTAGTGCTGCCGGTGGCATGATCATGTTGTCTTAGGGGGAAATCTGAATGAAGCCTGTATAATCCACGTTCTGGATTAAGTACCACATCTTTTTTCTTTAACCCGTGTTTGTGCAAGGACCATCTTAATGTCTGCAGGTAAGCTTCAGTAGCCCGGGTAATGGGTGTTATACAGTTGTAGATGAAGATGTTGGCAATTTGTGTTAAGATAACATCAGCTACTTCAGTGAGATGTAGTCTTTTATTGAGCACTAAACCCCGTTTGTTTACTTGGAGATCTAATGTATAATAACTTAGGATTTCTAGTCTGTACTTGTATGCTCTAGTCTGTTCTTGGCTGCTTGTGTGCACTCACTCACCTGAGAGGAGGCGTGCTGTGTGTAGATTTTCATCAGTTTTTTTATACACTTGCTTTATTATTGTGACCATATCCATTGGGAAAATTGCTAAACAAGGTAGCAGCTGGAAGGCAGCAGCACAAAATGGTCTTTCAGATCTTTCATGAGGAAAACTGGTAACTTACATCAAGTGAAGTTGCAGGTAAAATGTCATTTATTCGCTGGAATTCAGGTTAGTTAGGTGAATTACACGCTACGCAGTAAGCACATGGAAAGAAAAAGTGAAACAACCGACCACAAAAAGGCTTAGATCATTGTCAGTAAAAACACTCCCTTAAGATTTCTCCTGTGTTATGGTTGTAGTTGTAGGGAGGTGCTTAAGGTGAGTAATTACATTGACTATATGAACATCTTGTGTAACTCCGGAGGAATGAAGGATGTGGCCAATTATGTCATTATCAGTGTCAGTGAGCTGACTGAACAGGCTAGATGGGTGAAAGCACAATGAGTTTTCTAACTTTTCTAGATGTTAAAGAAATTTAAAGAAATGCTTTTTTCAGCCTAATCAGCTGCATATGTAGTGTATGGTTGATTACCTCAGACAATAGTAATATTATAATACTACTGTCTGAGGTAATCAACCATACTGACTTCTATTATAAATGTGTTTCATTCATTTATTCAACAAAGATCATAATATTTTTATAATATTATAAAAAATATGATCTTTGTTGAATAAAATAATGAAACACATTTATAAAAGAAGTCAGTGGTGCTGAAGCAACAGATATGGCTGATAGACATTAGGTTAAAAAAACGCTGGTGGATTCCTTCATATAGTCTGTCACCATGGAGAGGACAGTGCTCCAGCTGAGCAGTGCATGCTATAGCTTGTCTTACATTTTTACTAAAAATCCCACCGGAGGCCGTTACGAATGTGGCGTTTATTGCCTTGTCCAACAAGTTTCATGTAGTCATTTTTCTGCAAATGAAAACATTAGTTTTATTGACAGGTCACATGAAGAGCTCAAGTTGTGCTCAAGTGAAGTTATTACAGGCTTAGTAAAGAGTGGTACACATGCTAATCACCAGCTGTTTTAGTTTGTTTCTTAAAATGGAATTTTAAAAACTGAATTTTAATTCTACAACTTGTGCAGGTCACCTGTTTAACATCAGAAAACCTTCATCATTACCATCAGACATTCACACCGATGAACATGCCAGAACACCAGTACTCATTTAGCTGATTGTTTTTGTATGTTGCAAACATGCAACACAGCATTTCAGCAACTATGGGAGACTGGAAGCTGTTCCATACGTACTAACCTGGCATCCTAACTTCTGCTTTCAGTTGCTTACACTTAGCTTTTCTCTCTCTCCCTCTCTTTGTTTCAGGGTATGAAAAGACAGAAGATGCATCGGAGAAGACCTCCCTAGCTGACCAGGAGGATGCTCGACTAATATTCATCAATCAGCCCCAGCTAACAAAATTTTGCAGTAACCGTGTCAGGTAGGGCTTAGGATGGAAGTCTTTAACAGAATGATCCTCTGCCTCGATGTAGATTACTATCTGCTATTCAGACTTTGTGTTTTTCACTCCTAGCAGTGACTGAAAAAGATCCCTTGTCTGTCATTAATATTGTGCTATTTAGGAGTGGACGATTTAGTTTCCTATATCGCACTAAAAACATATGGCTCAATTAATGAATTCATCCACTTTCTTATCAATCTGTGTTGGTGCTCAACATTTCAGTAAACAAAGCAACATTAGTTGCTTGAGCGAGGGTTAAGCTGGCTTAAGACATGGGCAGAATGTTTTGAAGAGTACAGTGCAAGAGGACCGGGAAAAGTACTAAAGTTAACTAGGCTACTCATTTTCTTAATGACTGCGATAACCTGCAACAGTTACCATTGAGTGTTCTAGCGATATGACGAGCAGCAGGCAGTAAACACATTAGGGTCTTTATTTTAAACTGTGAAGAGCTGCTGTTTCAATGTTCTGTCAGACAGAGAGAATTTGGTAAGTTTATTTCAATGGCTCAGCGGCCACCATTAACTTCAGCTAACATTCCTTTGTCTGCTGCTGAGCCGCAAGAGACTCATAGTGCACTTATTTATTATAAGTTCAGGGTGTGGCTCCTTCATTAGTATTGTGCTGTTTAGGAGTTTACTATTTAGTTTAGTAAACAGCGGTTAAAACACATGAACCAGTAAATGAATTCAGACACTTTCGCGTTAATCGGCAAAATTATTCACATAAGCTGAGTTGCGGGAACAAACCAACAGTAGCTGTTTGCGCGAGGCAGTAGTTGGCTTCTTATTTGTAGCTGTAGGTGATAGAAAAAATTTTGGAAAGTGCCAGGGACGAAGACCAGGAAAAGTACAAAACTTAATTCAGCTAGATGTTTAATTCTTGGTCTGTTAATGCAGTGCACTACAGTTACCAGTCAGTATGATGAGCAGCAAGCAGTAAATGCAGTAGCATCCTTTGTTTTTAACTGCATATACCTGTTTTTCTTTTTCTTTTAAACAGTTGTTTGCTAGAGAGTTGAGAGAATCTGATAAGTTTCGTTTTGACAGGCAACTGAGTGGCCACCATTAACGTTAGCTAACATTCCACTGTCCACTGGTTAGTAAAAAGAGACTCACATTGTGTGTTTGTATAATATTGCTGATGTGGCGATCTATGGCGTTCACTAGATTCTAGATTCTGAGTGCATTGTGGAGATTTGTGCTCTGGCAATCACCCTGCAGTTCTTTTTTACAGTTGGCCAATATACTTTATGTAAAAGATTAGTTAAGTGCATGTTTTCTGTTACTATAAAAAAGAAACACTGTGCTATACTGTCTAAGCAAACACATGCACACATTCAAAACAAAATTCAGTTCGCTGTGGAAACACATGGATTTGTTTTATTTATTGTTTTATTTTATGTGACGTATATTCTTATTCATATATTTGATTGATTAAAGGTGCCATAGAATGGAAAATGATATTTATATTGACATAGTTGGATGAGTAGAGTAGAGCAGAGAACTGACATCCTGTGGATCTCAAACACTGTTGTCTCCTCCTTCAAATGAAAAATCCACATTTGTGAAAGAGGGTGATAAAATGAGCCAATTTCAAAATCCTAAACTGTTACGTAACAGTCTTTACTCATTAATGTTTATTTATTTCCGCAAAGTTTACTTAAACCAGCCCATGTTCTAGCTCAGTAGGAAGCAGCAATGGAGCAACAGCAATGAAAAATGGAGGCAATGTGCAGAAATGTATCAACTGCAGACTGTGAAGGGGATGTCAACAAGGAACTGAACTGTCATTCAGCATGGTTGATGTTTATATTAAATGAGGCTGAAGTTGGCTTCCTGTTTGCAAGCTTCTTAATCAAATGTTCCATTCCACCTTAAATGCTACAACTTGTATAGGCGCCAGAATGTAACTGTGGCGCCAGCGTGTAACTGCACCACCATTTAAGGTGATACGGAAGATAACTGGCAAATAATAGACCAACTTCAGCTCCGACACAGGATCCCAGACAACTTTACAGTTGTTAGTTTTTTCTGCATGTTTCTCAAACCGTGGACAATTTCAAGCAGAGTTCACTTAGCACTTGAAGAGACTGAAGGGACATGCAGTTCCAACTTTTGCATCACAACCCCAACAGCAACCTGTTAGTAGCTAGTCATGCTGTGTGATTTTATCCAAATTTTTGATGATTGAAGCGAGATCATTTTAAAATGAAAGTTTCGTAGTGAGATAACAACTTTAATTTACTTTGTGTTGTCAAGATCAAAAGCAAGCAGTTAGTACAGGTAGAGTTAGCTACTAGCAAGCTCCAAGAAACTAGCTTAACTAATTAAACTAAGCTAGGTCGTCATACTATTATTACTATTATTAGTATGACGACCTAGCTTATTTACACATTTTATTTTATTTTCCTGCCTGTGTCTGTTTCGACTTGCTGCTTCTGTGTGAGCCATCATGGTGCCTTACTATAAACCAACAAATCAGAGCAGAGCTCATCAAATTATTCATGAGCACCCCCGAAAAGGGAAAGCAGCTTGTTTCATTCTAGGGCCAAATCACAGGGTTGTAAATGGGCGTAAAACCACATTTGGGCATTTTTTTTTTCACCCCGACCAAAGCCACATACCTTCTGTGTAGACATCAGAGAATAATTTAAAATGCTGAATAAATGCATTCTATGGCACCTTTAAAATGGCACTTTGTGGCCTGATTATGTCATGTTATATCTCTGTTCTCTTTAGACAAAACAACAACAAAGAAAGGCAGTATATTCAGTATTTTTGAAATTTCTTTCCTGGCACTGTGGACACATAGAGAGTTGTTGTTTTGGATTTGCTCCATGCAGAAGGTGTTGTTTGGCACTGTATATTGAGTTTCTGTAGGCCTGCAGGTGAAGGGTGCAGGTTTTTCAAGTGTCATGTTTTATGGACGGTGTGTTCTACTTATGTGTTCCTACTTAGTGATCTAAACCTGGGGAACAATGTTCTGGCTTCCAGTGCTTTCTGATTGTTTTTCTCAGTCCTTGTTCATACATGCAGGAGTGGCTAGAGTTTTCTGTGAGTTTTCACATCTGCTGTTAACCAAAAGGTTAAATGTTAAGGAAGATTTTTTTTTTCTTTTTTGTATGTGTGTGTATGCGTGTTGTAATTGTGTGACCAGCCTTTAGGGCAGTAGGTGTGTCACACACCGAGGCACTGCAGCAATCACCTCTTCTACCTGACAGAGACAGAGGCAGAAAGAGAAAGAAATAGTAATGGAGAGAAAGAAACAGGCAGGGGAATTAAGAAAGACAGGAAAAGAAAGGAAAAACAAGACACGGACAAGGACAAAGAGAGAGAAAAAAGAAATATAGTGAGATAGTAAAGCAGAGTGAGTTAGGACAGAAAAGATAGACGTGGATAGAAAATGTGAGGAAAGAGGAAAGAAATGAAAACAAGTGGAGAGCAGAAGAATGAGAGAGAGAAAATATAGGCAGTGAACGCAGAGCAAGCAAGCAAGCAAAGTTTATTTATATAGCGCTTTTTACAACAGGTGTTGTCACAAAGCAGCTTTACAAGGAAATCAGCATAGAGGGGGACAGAATGAATGGAGCGAAAAATAAAGGAGGTAAAGATGGTACATCAGTGTTTTTGGCACTTGAAACTATGGAGCGATTGTTGCTGAGAGTGCAGTAAAGTTCGGACTCCTGCAGCAGCTCAGTGTGTCCAAATTAAATATGAGCTCGGACTGATGGATGGCAGGCAGAGCGCTGGGCAGCTGGACACACCAGTGTTTACAGCGCAGTGCAGGACACACACGTAAACACCACTATGGTTACATCCACAGTGAGGCTCATGTACAATATCTGCAAGGTCTGACAGTGTGGATAGTGTTGATAGAGCGTAAAACCTGAAACAGAAAGCAGAAGGGGAGAAAATAAATTGCTACATTAATTTTCACTGTCTCACCTCACCTCTTGCAGATGCTGAATTATAAAAGTGTGAACCATCTGTAATTTGTGTGCAACAAGACAAATGCTAAAACACGCACGCTCATTCTCTTTTACATACACACACTGCAGGATTTGTTTGTCAGGACATAGACTCATACATATCTATTATATATATTGAGAGGTGCAGTGATGACATTATTATTATTATTATTATTACTATTATTATTATTATTATTATTGTAATAATGTTGTTATAATATTATAATTATGATAATGTAATACCAAAGGATTTTGTCTTTTAATGCTTTATACTATTTTGTTACAAGAAAAAAGTAAATTATTTTAAACCAAGTTATCCCTAACCCTACTCACCTCTTACACACACACACACACACACACACACACACACACACACACACACACACACACACACACACACACACACACTGTTGCTGAGAGGTGTTTTTGTTGTCCCTTCCTTTTTTTTACCTGCATTGCAGTGGGGCTGGTCTTGAAATCATAATGAAATGTGGAAAGTGGAATTGCTAGATTCTGTTGCTTTACTGCACAAAGGAAGAGCAGGTAAAGGACAGTATGTATACTGTCACACCTGCTAATTACAGCTGCTTCTGCAGGGAGGGACGCGGGAACATCAGGACCCATTGTCATAGCCTTACTGTGTCACGATTTAGTCATTACCAATTCACACCTGCTAGCTACGTCTCCCCATATCACATTATACCGAGGTCTAATCATAGGTTTTCGCTGTGTATAATGGGCAATTTAAACATGCAGTGCGAGTTGCCACCAAAGAACAACATTTCTGAAATTGTACAGTGCATGTTTTCAATGACACTGTGCAACTCACACAGTGTTATTGACATCTAAATGCTGAGGGTGTAACTGTAAACGTATTTTCAGGTTCAGTACAATCATCGATACTTGGGCCAAAATTTAGTTTGAATGTCAATTAAAATCTTGATTCTACAGAACTCTAATTACATACTTGATTAATTGGTTTGGCTCAGAAGAATACGGATGTTTCAAA